TAAAACTGGGTCTGCAAACCATGTCGAAAGACAATTCGCGTGTCCACCATGTCCACAAAGCGGACACCACGTCCACAACGTGGCCGTAGGCGCAGACCACTCCGTCGGGACGGACGGTGATGGGCCGACAGCATCACGATCGTCCCCGAGGTTTTGGCCCGAAGCAAGGGACGACCGCTGCCGCTTGTGTCCTCGGTCCTTCAGATTCAAACGAAACTTTGACTTGGCCTTTTTTGCGGTAAGCGGCTCAAAGGCGGGATACTTGGCCCAGCAAATTGGGCATGGCGCCTGTGTTCGCTTACACGACTCACATCGCATCTTGTCTTTGGGATTGTTGATTGGTGACTTGCAGCTGAGGCACAGCAATCCGAGTTGTGTTTCTTTGAGCGCTTGTTCGTACACGGCGGGATAGGCGGGATAGGCTAGCCTTCGTAGCGTAGCTGCAGAGTTGAACAATGATAGCGAGTGCAGTTGTGAGTGGTAGGTATGAAGAATAGACTCTGCTTGATAAGGATTGATCCCTGTGGCTATAAGCTGACTCAACTGTGTCGAGAGAATGGCCTTTGCCTGTGCTGGACTGAGCCCAAGAGCCACAAAGGTATCTGCAAAGGCGTTGAGGACATCGCCTACATTTGTACCCGGGTCATCGGTCGGGCTCTGTGTCTGCGGAAGGAGTGGCTGGAGAAGGAGGAGCAGAATCGACGGAAACTGCGCATCCGACGCTTTTGTATGATATGCAAGAACGCTATTCAGCAAGCTGACGACAGAATATGGCGATCCTGCTTCTGCATCGACATGCATGGCCGTGAAGTCGGATAGTAACAAACCATCCTCTGTAACTGGATCCAGGACTGGAGGCGCACTTCCAGATGCATGTGGCAAATTCGGTGGCGGCGGCTTTGGGACATGAGGCGATCGCATATCATCCACATCAGGCACAATTGTCCCACTGGCCTCCATGTCTATGTTGTAGTCATGGGAGGATGAATAAATGCTGGTGAGTGCCTCGGAATCTGAACTGTCCTGACGAAGCAGTTGATTGTTTCGTCGCAGGTTCTCCATGTCACGAACGGCCGTTTCTCCATTGTCAGATTGATCAGCATGGTCCATTCCTTTGCTTGCAGGACCTTCAGTATGCTGCCGATTCAGGGAACCGTTTCCACCAATAGGAATCGTGGTTGGAGATATCGGCACACTTTTACCTAGATCTTCATCTTTAGAGTTTCTAGGCTTTCCAAAGCTAGAGTGTTCCGGAACAGCGTCCCAGTCCTCTGATGATAGCCTTTCCCGATTTGATTGCGAGTTACCGCTCGCAAAGGAACTAGGCATTGAGTTTCCCTTTTGGGAATCCGAAGAGGCCGAGAACATGGTAAAACTTTCCCCAGAGTCATGCCGCTCTATTGAACGAGGTGCATTGATGTTCACGCCTTGCACACTGCTTGGCGTCAGACTTAGAGGAATTCGAGGCGATGCTCTGTAGCTGCCACTCAAGGCGCGACGCTCGTCAAGGCCATCGCCAGAGTGGTACCACTGGGGGCTGCTGAACGTTTTATGTGCAGGTCCCAGTGCGCTACTTGTCTGGACAGGCGTTGCAGTGACTGCTGGTGGTAGTTGAACCATGTCCTCTTTATCAATGTCAAGAAGGTCAGGCCTTTTTGTGTCATTACCGGGGTCTGTCCTCACTGGACGAGCAAGAGGCGTTGATATATTGGAGGTGCTCTCTGTTATCGTGGTGGGTGGTCTGGATGGCGGTGCCGGTTTCTCCAAGGTGCCGAGAATAGCGCGCACGGCAGGATTTACAGACGCTGCCGCTGCCAGTCGCTTGTCATGGGCTTCCATGGGCGCAGACGACGGCTCAAGCATTTTGTTGGATAGCCGCAGCGCGGGGACATGCGGATGCAACCTTCTTTGCTGTTTGTGTAACTCTGCTCGGCGCCGCGTCGCTACGGCAATGGATGCTCCCATGATCCTCCACGACTGAGCGAGCCGGTACATTGCTGCGCGCTGTGCATATTCGGCATTTTGCTCAAAGACTCTTTCCACTCGCAGAAAAGAGTCGAGATCGGGAGGGTCAGGCAGGGCTATGTTTTTGTATTTTTGAGCCAGATAGGCAAAGATCTGGGTATTGGTTGTACCGGGCAAGAAGCCTCGAATGGCAGTCTGATTTGGCCTGTGGGATTCGCTGTGCATAACCATGGAGTCACTCAAGAGCATGACCTTGGGGCCAACGTCAGAAGGTGGAGTTGTACTAAACGACTTGGTCGACCTGTTACTGGCAGCGCGCACATGATGACGCTTCATGGCAGAGGCAAGAAAGCTGTCATCTAGGCTGTCGTCTGCTGAGTTGCGGAGGCTTGCCTTTCCAGAGCTATGGCGCCTATCACGGGTTTCACCAAGGTAGGCGTCGTCCACGTAGGCTAGACCCGCAGCGGAGCGCGGGTGTGACCTCTTCTGGGCGACTGCGCCAATCTCGCCGGTAGGGGATATGGCAAAGGCCTGCAGGTTGCGACGATCAATCGTTTTGGGGGCATGGTGGACATCATTTTGCTGGAAGATGCCTTCTTTGCCAACAGTCCATAGTGTGTCACGCGAGTGCCAAAGCATGTCAGATGGGGCAGTGGAGAAACAGTTGATGTCCCTAAAGGGCAAGAAGGGGCGGCGAAAGTCCCAGACATGGATGGCAGCATGTTCGCGATCATATGATGTGGCAACCTGTGTGCACTGATAGATGCCTTTGTCGTCGTGGTCATCGGACCATGAGGGTGGTCGCCAGCGCGCCTTGTAGACGGGAAAAGGCGTGTGCAGAACATGGGCGGCTTTCTGGCGGCGGCCAGTGATGGAGAAGTCCCAGACCTTGACGGTACGGTCGACGCCGGCGCTGAGGAGATGCTTGCCGTCTGGATGCCAGTCGATGGAGGTGCAGATGCGTTGGTCGTGAGCAGTGATTTTCTGCTTGGGGCCTTTGGTGTAGCGAAAGTCCCAACGCTGGATGGTACCGTTGTCTGTTCCAAAGGCGAATTCTACAGCGTCGGTCGGGGACCATTGGACATCGCGGATGCCGCCATTCATGCCATGGTACTGGTCTCTGCTGGGACAGATGGTGGCGTCCCTGCGCATGTCGCGCAAGTCCCACAGGCGGACGGTGGAGTCGTGGCTTGCAGAGAGCAACAGGTGCCCCTGGTGGGGGTTGAATGCAAGCTTGTGTACCTGACGGGTGTGCTCATGCAGGCGGGTAAGCTCTACGCTGGCACGGTTGAGGTCGTAGAGAATGACCTTGCCATTTGCAGCAGCCGTGGCTATGTGCGAGCCGAACTGGCCGTGGGACCACTTGACATCGTGGATGCCCAGGCCCTCGCGCTGGCGGGCGTGCGAGTCTGCATAGTTGAGGACGGCAGCACGCAGATTGGTCTCGTCGACGATGCGGGCGTCTTGGACGCGGACCGTCTTGAGCAGCTCCTTGCCGGCGAGGACGGCATGGGTGCGCTCGCGGTTGATGTCGAGGGCCGAGATGTCGAGGCCCGTCTTGTGGCTTGCATGCTGGGAATAGCCTGTGCGGACACTGCAGAAGCACTCAGTGGCAGGGCCGGGGAGAGGAGAGTGAGGACATGTGCATGTATGTGTATGTGTATGTGTACATGTATGGGTAGGACATGGGCATGGACATGGACATGGAGCAGGGCGAGCGGCGGGTGCAGGTGGAGGGGGACGAGGCAGCGGCGGCCAAGCATCTACACATACAGGACGAGCAGATGGACATTGGCATGTGCAGGGGCCCAGAGCTGGAAGGCGCAACGGGGGCAGGGGCGGGCAGGGGCGGGCGGCCAATGGGAGGCGGGCAGGAGGCGATTACGGGCACGGCGACTAGGAGGGGCAGGTAGGGTGGAGAATGTATGGATGCAGTGTCGACGGAGAGTAGTCGGGGAGCAGGGAGAGACAGCCAGCCAGCCAGCCAGCCAGCCATACACACACACCCGCTTGCAGCACTTACCCGGGAACTTTCGGTACCAGAGGGTTCGGCAGCCGGGCGCCATCGGGCTGCACGCTCGGCGGCCGCGACGAGTAGGCCGTCGTCAGCGGCTGGGCGACGAAGCGCTCAAAGTACGAGCGCGGCCTCTTGGGCAGAGGCAGCGGCGGCGCAGGCGGTATCTTGGGCGACGACATGGCTGACTATGCTAGTCTGTTTCTGCACCCGGTGCCAGGAGGCGAGCCGGCGAGGCGAGGCGAGGCGAGGCGAGGGGGGTGGGGAGTAGCGGAGGGGTGGTGGTGGTGGTGGTAGTGGTGGCAGTGGTGGCAGTGGTGCGGCAGCGCAAAGACAGACGGTGAAGCACCGGGCAGGCAGCGCAGCGCAGGGCAGCACCGCAATAGCAATCAGTACTAGCAGGACCAGTACCAGCAGCAAAGCGCCGTGGGGAGAGAGATATGGCGTGGCTGGCGGGCCCTGGGCCGGCCGCCGGGTGGGCTGCTGGTGGGCTGCTGTATGTATTGTATGTATGGCACGTATGGACGGTCGATAGCTGCAGACATGGCCGTCTCCACCCGGGTGCTGGTGCTGGTGCTGGTGCTGGTGCTGGTGCTGGTGCTACTGCGGCTGCTGCAGGCGGGTGGGCAGGGCAGGACTGGGCAGGACAGGGCAGGGCCGGGCAGTTGCATGCAGGAGAGAAACGCTGGGCGGCCCCATAGTGACTTGTCGCGTCCCAGGTCGAGGTCCAGATGGAAATCGATCATCGTGCACGGGCCGCCCGCCATCCCTGCACTCAAGACGCCTCTCGCCCACGACGGAAAGCAACGCATGCGCCAATGTCACCGTGTTTCTCTCCTCCAGCATCGCCCTCCATCGCTCCCACGCAATCCCTTCTGCCCTCTTCTTCTCCCTCTCCTCCTCCTCCTTCCCCTCCCCTCCTCCTCCCCCCGCCCCGGCCCCAGCATACTCCCCGACTGCGACCTGCTCCCGCGTCTCATGCTCAAGTGGAGCGCGCCAGTCCGAGCCCGAGACACACACCATGGCCGACCCATTGAGGCTGCTCCACGCCGCCGACCCGTTGCCTTTTGACGACCTCGACGACGACCGCTGGGCCTATGCACGCCCTGTCCGCGCCGTCACAGCTGTTCTGCAATATGCCTACCCCATCGTTATGCTCGTCGTCTTCCTCGCCGCCTTCACCACCCGCAGCATCGCCGCCTCCAAGTCTAATACTAATATCGCCAAACCTACTACAACCGGCCCTGGAGGCAAACCACTGCCCGCCACCGACCCAACCCGCAATTTTGTCAAGAGGACCCAGCACGACCATGTCACGCACGCCCAAAAGAGACTGTTTGAATGGCTCTCGCTCGCCACTGCTTTTACCTTTGTCGGCAATTCCGTCCTCGTCGTCGCCCATGCCCTGGTCGAGAAACAGCAGCACTGGTGGGCTGGCAAAGCCGTTGTGGTATGTGCAACTCCACCAAACCCAATCACCATGCCCCCAACCGGAACCCCAAAAATAAAAATAACCATGAAAAAATAAATGTCCCCCCGTCCTGACCTCTACCCAGATCTATCTCGTGGGCTCCTTCTTCGTCTACTGTCTATTCCTCATCTCGCTCGTTGACTCGAAGCCCTCGCCCACAGAGGCCCATCTGGCAACATGGGTCCTAGCAACCGTCCTGGAAATCGTCCTCGTCGCTCTCTCCTTGGCCATCTACACGCATCCCCACAAGGAGCCCACTGCAGGCCCGCCCCCCAAGCGCCTGCGCTTTGGAATGACTGACTGGGAAGCCGGCGAGGTCGCCGTCGACCTGCTGCGCATCCTCTTGTTGCTTTCCCTTATCGGATTCTACGTCATGTTCGTCGCCATGCCCCAACGAAAGGCGCACCAAGATACGGCTTCGCCGACTGAGAGCACGTCCTTGTTGGGTGGCGCCGATCAGAATGGTCATGCGGAAAATGGTCACACCAATGGTTCCTACGGCACCGTCCACCCAGTCGGTGGCAAACACCAGCACGCCGAGGGTGCACCGCCCGCTTGGAGCCGACCCACGGGTGCGCCTGCCCGCAGCTGGTGGGAGTACATCAAGGGCTATCACGTGTTTTTCCCCTACCTCTGGCCTTCCAAGGACGGCAAGTTGCAACTGGTTGTCGTTGCTTGTTTTATGCTTGTTTTGGCTCAGCGCGTCGTCAACGTCCTGGTCCCGGATTTGACGGGTGAAATCGTCGACCGTCTCAAGGACCCCACCAAGGGCAATCCGTGGACTGCCATCATGGTCTACATTGCTTTTCGCTTTTTGCAAGGAAGCAATGGCCTGCTCGGTGCAGCCCGCTCCGCATTGTGGATTCCCGTCTCGCAGTACTCATACCGTGAATTGTCTGTTGCGGCATTTGAGCACGTGCACAGCCTTAGTCTCGACTTCCACCTCGGCAAGAAGACCGGTGAGGTCCTGTCCGCGTTAGGAAAGGGCAGCTCCATCAACACCTTCCTCGAACAAGTCACCTTCTCCGTAGTGCCCATGCTTATCGATCTGGCCGTTGCCATCGCCTACTTCCTCGTCCGATTCGATGCCTACTATGCCCTTGTCATCGCCATTGTTACCTTCTGGTACATCTACCTGACGATCCGCATGGCCCAATGGCGCGCTGAAATCCGCCGTGAAATGGTCAATGCTGACCGAGAGGAAGATGCAGTCAAGTGAGTAGTCTTCGTATTTCTCTAACTCCCCCCCTCCCTCCAGCTGACGGCCCCACAGGAATGACTCAATGGTATCCTATGAGACGGTCAAATACTTCAACGCCGAAGCTTACGAGTTCAACCGTTACCGTGAAGCGGTCAGGAAGTACCAAAATGCCGAGTACAAGGTCATGCTCTCGCTGAACATTATGAACATTACCCAAAACATGGTCTTCATGGTCGGACTTCTCGTAACTTGCTTCATCGCAGCATATCAAGTTGCCATTGGCGATCTAGAGGTCGGCAAGTTTGTCACGCTCATCACATACATGGGCCAGCTGCAGAGTCCCCTCAACTTCTTCGGCACTTTCTACAGGATGATCCAGTCTGCTATGATCAATTCGGAGCGAATGCTTGAGCTCTTCAAGGAGCAACCCACTGTAGTCGACAAGGAGAACGCGCAACCCTTGGTGTCTTGCGAAGGTAATCTCCGCTTTCAGGATGTACACTTTGCCTACGATCAGCGTAAACCCGCACTGACCGGTCTCGATTTCCACTGCAAACCCGGTACGACGACTGCGTTTGTCGGTGAGTCTGGCGGTGGTAAATCGACCGTGTTCCGTCTGCTATATCGTTTCTACAACACCATGTCTGGCAGCATCCAAGTCGATGGACATGACGTAGAAGATTTGACCATCGATTCGGTCCGTAGCCATATCGGTGTCGTGCCTCAAGATACTGTTCTTTTCAACGAGACGCTCATGTATAACCTCAAGTATGCCAATCCAGAGGCAACAGACGAGGATGTGTACGAGGCGTGCAAGGCTGCAAGCATCCACGACAAAATCATGACTTTCCCAGATAGGTACAACACCAAGGTTGGTGACCGCGGTCTGCGGCTGTCAGGAGGTGAGAAACAACGCGTTGCCATTGCACGCACCATCTTGAAGAACCCGCGAATCATCATGCTTGACGAAGCAACGGCCGCTCTTGACACCGAAACGGAGCAGCACATCCAAGAAGCCTTTACGACCTTGGCAAAGGGCCGAACAATGCTCATCATTGCTCATCGTCTCAGTACCATTACCCACGCTGACCAGATTCTTGTTCTCCACAAGGGCAAGGTCCAAGAACGTGGAACGCATGAGGAACTCCTTGACCGAAATGGTCATTACGCTGCCATGTGGAAGAAGCAGATTCGTGCACAGCGAGCAGCCGAGCAGGCTCAATACCTCAAAGACAAGGCCGATAGGCTCCGTCGGGAATCCAAGGATGGAAGCATTGGTCTCGAGGATGGAAGCAGTAGCCATTCCAGTTCCGATGACGAGAATGCGAGAAGAAGACGCTCGACAGCGCAGAATGGATCCCACCAAGATGGAAGCTCAAGCAAACCGCATGGGCATCCTTAGTCTGGTACGTCTTTGGCTCGCTGAGAAGCAAGCCACGTACCGTGTAACCATTTGCTGTTGCATCATCAAACATTTGCCAATCGACACACCGTTGTCAAGGATCTGACCAATCAAGAATGCTGGTCTTCAACAATCACCATGTTCATTTCATCTCTCTGGAAACGACTTCGTCCTGTTTTTGAAAACGAGGTCCGAATTTTTTCATCAGTCACGTCCCATGTGTCTCTCTCACTCTCCATCTCGCCATGTCACCCACCAAATAGACGCCTTTCATTTTATTTTCCAACTGGAGTTTCCCAAGATGCCCGTCGGATGTCTGCTATATACTTTTACGCCAGGGAATAAAAGAAAACGAAAACCGCTTTTTTTCGAATCAAGTCAGTTATGCGGAATTGGACATATATACCTGTGGAGGAAATTGGATTGGATTGCTTCTTGTTTGTTTATGTTGTTTGGGGGTCTGTCANTCTCCCCCTGTTTTTTTACACCCTCTTCTCCTTCATTTCCCCCCTCTTCCATCTTAACGAATGGGAACAAGAAAGAAAGAAGACGAAGAAAAAGAAAAACAAAGTTGTGTATGTTGGAAATGGAGGCAAATTCGCTGTTGTTTTTTATATACCAAAGACGAATACGCACACGCGCATCGGGTGGCTGGGGAAGGAAGGGGGTTATGCGTCTTTTTTTATCCTTGTTTGATCCTTCCTCTTTTGCTTTCTCCTCTCTTTCGCCCTTTTTTTCTCTCTCTCTCTCTGTATGGGCGATAGTGGGAGACGAAGCGACAAGGGCTTCTTGTCATGTCGTGTGGCGCACACAAAAATGAAGAAATGATTTGATGTGGATAAAAATCATGGCGGTACGAGTTTTTGTTGATGTTCTTTGTTCTGTTCTGTCTTTGTTGCTTATTGTTCCCGCTGCCTTCCCTCGTTTACTGCTTTTAGCTTTCTTCGTAATGGGCGTCAATCACGGGGGGCCTTTGGATAGAAGTCATGTGGGTTTAATCTTTGTTAAAAGGATCATCTATTTTGGGGTTTACCTTTTCTTTTAATATTCCATACACCGCAAATGGAAAAGTCAATACCAATTTTTTTTTTACACAGAAATAGCTTCGAATCCATGTCCTTGTGATTATTTGTCCCAGTCGTGAATGTACATGTGGACGTATATTTACAGGGAACTTCCCTGTGTGGCTGGGTCATCAATATTCCAGCAGGTGGCGATAAAAGACACGTGTGTAGTAGTATCATTGTCTCGTACTCGATGCATTACGACGTTCGTATGCGTCTCTCAACTATGTGATTACGTATAGTCTGACTCGCGTTGCCTGTTAGGGTACACGACCCCACCAGTCCCAAGCCAGGATATACGGGGACTGACAAATGACACAGCATCTTGTTCACTGCCAGACGTGCTTCACACTCGGCACGAGCTACCCCATATTTATTCCTCCATCTCCACATCATCACCACCACCACCACTGGCATGACCGCTTTGTCGTGCATTTGGCTTGGGTACTGAGGCTTCCTTGTCAATCATTTGCCGTGAGACAGACACAATGTTGTCTTCGATCAGTTGCTGGCCAACGTCCGAGATGTCTGGAATCGTTTGTCAGTAGAATCCCAAGATACCATGCACACATAAACATACGCTTCTTTGGATCCACCTTTCCGACATATCGTGTCTTCAGTTGCTCCTTTGTCAACTCCGTCTCTTCCTTGACTCGCTTCTCGTAACCGTCCGCCAGTGTGACCAGTTTCTGCAGCCTATCCACATTCCGCTCACCCTCGCTCTTAAAATCATCCATGAGCAATGCCTCTGTCCACACGTGCTTGTGCAGGTTCATTAACATGTTCTCCTCCAATGCCGTCTTTCGGTAGTTGATGCCAATCGAATAGTAGTGGCGGTTCAGGCCGTGGATGAGGGCTTGGATCGAGGGCTTGTTGAGGTGGCCAACATTGGATGTGGTTTGGCGGGGCTCGTGGCCCATCATGAGCGTTTGCGGGTTGATTAAGCGAAAGGCATCAATCACGACTTTGCCCTTGACCGACTGGATGGGGTCGACTACGACGGCAACGGCACGGGGTGTGAGCTGCTCGAACGATTGCTGTGTGTTGATGTCGACTGACGATAACCAGCAGCCAAAACCGGGATGTGAGTGGTACCAGCCGACAACGGTTTCTTGCCTGTGTTTGTCAGCGACTCAATCAACCATGTGAGAGCCTGTGGCGACCCCGAGAGCCCAATGCTTGACTACATACCTTCCTGTTTGACGAAGCATGTCCATCATCTTAGTCTGGAAGACGGGATCTACAGCCTCGACGGAGACACCAGTTCCGGACTGCGGCATGGCAAAGACGTCCACCACCCGTACTGTGTAGTCGTCGACGAACTCTCCCAACATCAGTCCCATGACTTCCATAGGCACACCGGCCCGGCCGTGTCGCAACATCTTGAGTAGTGCGAGCGAAGAGATGTAAACAGTTTCCGAGTTGTCGATGAGGTTGGTGTCCGCCTGCGGGCCTCCCATGCCACCCATGCCTTGAGCGGCGGCGAGCATTCTGCTTAACCGGTCCATAGTGGGGGTGTTGGAGAAAGATCTTCTCGATGAGGCGTATTCAAAAGGCTTGAGACAAAGACGGGGTTGTCCGCTACGAGTAAGTGAAGTGGTCGTTTGGGTAAGGCGGCGGCGAGGGCGATGATGGCTTCGAGCTATCGATGCTCGGAGCTTCACGTAACTGCGCGACTGCCATATCCGGCGATGATGTTGTTCCGGTACCGGCACTAAGCAGGGGTACCCCGGCGCAGCTCGAATGCTCCATGCCCGCGTCTTTGTTCAAAGCTTCCCCATCTCTCCGTCCAGGCCCCTCCACTTTTTCCTGACCCTTCAGTCTCCAGGACTCCATAAACTCTCAACCCCTTCGCGCATACCAAGAACCGCTTGGTTTTCTCCCTAAACCTTTGAGAGTTTCTCAATCACCACAAGATAGTCACGTAGCTGCGCGCAGCCACCACAGACATGGTGGACGGAAACGACATGGCAGGCCCAACTGGCGCTGTCCACATTAATAACGGCACTGCATCGCAGCCAAAGAAGGTCGCATACTTTTACGATTCCGATGTCGGTAACTACGCCTATGTTGCGGGGCATCCCATGAAGCCGCATCGTATACGAATGGCGCATAGTCTCATCATGAATTACGGCCTATACACAAAGATGGAGATCTACGTAGGTGGACCCTAAGTTTTATTCTTCAAGATAATCTCTAATAAGATCTAGCGCGCAAAACCCGCCTCCAAATACGAGATGACACAGTTCCACACGGACGAGTACATCGAATTCCTACACAAGGTCACGCCAGACAACATGGAGCAATTCACCCGCGAGCAAAGTAAATACAACGTGGGAGACGATTGCCCTGTGTTTGATGGCCTTTTCGAATTTTGCGGTATCAGCGCTGGCGGTACCATGGAGGGCGCCGCTCGCCTGAACCGAGGGAAATGCGACGTCGCTGTAAACTGGGCCGGTGGTCTGCATCACGCGAAAAAGAGCGAGGCCAGTGGATTCTGCTATGTCAATGACATTGTCCTCGGAATCATCGAGTTGCTCAGGTATAAGCAGCGTGTTCTCTACATCGACATCGACGTCCACCACGGAGACGGTGTTGAAGAGGCTTTTTACACTACTGACCGTGTTATGACCGTTTCGTTCCACAAATACGGAGAGTATTTCCCTGGTACTGGCGAACTTCGCGACATTGGTGTTGGTAGTGGCAAGAATTACTCCGTCAACTTCCCCCTTCGAGACGGTATCACAGACGAGACATACAGGAATATCTTTGAGCCTGTCATCGAGGCAGTAATGACTTATTATGGACCTGAAGCCATCGTTTTACAATGCGGTGGTGACAGTCTTTCTGGAGACAGGCTCGGTTGCTTCAATTTGAGCATGGACGGACACGCCAACTGTGTCAGGTACGTCAAGAGCTTTGGTGTACCTGTCATCGTCCTAGGAGGTGGCGGTTATACCATGAGGAATGTCGCGCGAACCTGGGCATACGAGACTGGAGAGCTTGTTTCGCAGAAAATGTCCAAACAGCTACCTTTCAACGACTACTACGAGTACTTTGCGCCCGACTACGAACTGGATGTACGGCCATCAAACATGGAAAACGCCAACTCTCATGACTATCTGCACAAGATCAAATCAGCTGTCATTGAGAACATTCGCAGAACGGGACGACCATCGGTTGAGGCTTTCACAACGATCCCAGATGTACCTACGGCTCTAGGTCGCGCGATGGACTCCGATGCTGAAGACGAAGAAGACGATATAGATGCGGACGAAAACCGGGATGTGCGCATGACACAGCGCCAGCGTGATAAGCAGATCGAGCATGACGGTGAACTTTACGATGCAAGTGATGATGAGGATTACAAGAACAGCCTTGGAGTGCGCGCTCAGCCTGGCGTCAAGAAGAGACGAAATATTACAGACTTCCCCAACCCTAATGCAGCCCCAGCTGACGCCCTGGATCTCATGGAAGACATCAATGGTGGAAGCGCTGTTTCGACTCGACAAGCCTCTGCAGGCGCAAAATCACGTACACAGACGCCTGCTGCTGCTGCTGCTGCTGAGCAGGAGGTTGACAAAGATGGTGATGTCGACATGGACGCACCCGTCCCTGAAGCTGCCCCTGAAGCTGTTCCCGAGGCCGCCCCCGAGACTGCCCCTGAAATCGCCCCCGCCACTGCTCCTCCGGCCGCTACTGAGACCACCGATACTGCCGCTCCTGCTGCTGCACCTGAGCGGGAACCATCTCCTGCAGGCGTTGTAACCCCACCTGAATCACCACCCACTGCTGTGCCTGCTACAATGGCACCCACATCAGCCCCAGTCGCTGACGTGGAAATGGCAGAAACCGACGATAAGGAGGAGACTGCCGCAGCAAAAGAGGAGGGTGAAGCAGAACGCGACACTGAAAACGTCAAGGGTGAGGTCAGGGCAGAGGTCGCCAAGGACTAGACGTCTTTGAGAGGACGCCTCCAACGCATGACGGGTGGTGAATAGTTGCATTCGAGAGGCGTTTATTTCTGGTTGCGGTCCTTTTCCTTGGTGGCATTGGAAAGGCAGCGAGATAGGTGTTCTTGGTGTGTATGGATTTTCATTGGATATTGGGGATACCTTTTGTATGTCTGTTTCGTCCTTTTTCTTACTCATACCTCTGATCTAAGTATGTATATATGAATGACTGGCTGTTTTTCTGGCTGCGCATCTCATTACAGAGAATCAATCCTTATTCTAATTTTATGCCATATGTCTTGGAGGATTTGTTTTGTAGAATGCGTACTGCCAGTGGGCTCAGGAACCCTCGCCCCACCTTTGAATATACTACACTGGGTCTGTGCCACTATGATTTTGACATCCCTCTTCCTTCTGCTTTTCTCCACACGCATCCACAAACTCCTTTTCTCCCTCTTGTATCCCTCTGACCACTCGTTCCGCCGCAGATGCAAAGTTGTTGATCAAACGCCGCCAATCCCCAACCGGGCTGGCCATCTGAATAAGCACATGCTCACATGGTTCTGCAGGCGTTCCAGACACACAACTGGTCAGCCCATTTTGCATCATGAGAGAGATCTTATAGACCCATTTGGTTCTGCCAGAGTGACTTTGCATGGCAGGTTTGATGATAGGGACGCTGACTTGGCGGGAGTTGACATCAAGTGAGTTTAGGTAATAACGCGCAAGAAAGGCGAGATTGTCTTGAGAAGGGCAACCGTTAGTATATATAGTACTGGGATTAGGAAATGGGGATTAAAATGGGTACAGACCTGATATCTTGTTCACGGTCTGTTCGCTGGTACCATATGGAGCGAGGATCAGGTCGATTTGGGGGAGGATGCATGTGTACAGGGTGATTATGGGGCCGTCTGCCATTTCCGTTTGTGGTTGTGGGAGGATTTTACATAGTATTGGGTTGGATTGCGTTTGATAGTTATGAAAATATCCGAAGAATACATGCCAGATTGTAATATAGTAGTTGGTCTTCATACTGTTATTTGCTTGTCTCCAAAAACTTTGGATCAAGTTTGCCATAGTGCTTAACAAGTGTTCCCATTGCCTGGAACAAAGCGCAGTTTTGTCGGTATCAATATAACATGGGCGCACACAAAGAATATCAAAATGCAGTATGTTGCTAGGTCATCGCTAGTTCTATTTCTAATGTCAAGTTGTGGCAATGTATCAGCAGATTGTGTTTGGTGGGTACTGGCCACTTTTTTTTTGCATAACTCATCAAGGTTATAGCACCAGTGCCATCTCGTCCAGATCAATATCCAGCCCACAGCTCAGCTGGGGAATCTGGGTATAGTGGCTTTGATCCAGCAGCCTTCTTATGAATTTGAGGGTCTATAGTCAGTCAGCAAAGCACAACATTGTAACACGGAAAACGTACCTCAGCATAGCTCGGGCGTTCCGTACTCTTCATCATCTCTAGAAACGCCCAAGTCATGGCTCCGGTTGCACGGCCTTGAATATGCGCATCAGCACTTGTCTGCTCATCTTTGCAGCCAGAGAACATGGTGACCATTTTTCGTTCGTTGCCGTATTGGCGAGCAAATTCTCCGTCCTCAAGCCCTTCCCCTTGCTCCTCGCCCATGTGTCTAAGACCCTTGAAAAAGCTGCTGGCTCCAGCAAGAAGATGTTGCGCCTCGCCGACCTTGTCGAACGTAAAGCCACCTGAGATGATATCGCGGGCTTCTTCTGCAAGATGTAAACCAGTTTTCAGATTGTCCATCAGACTAATCTGGCCATCACTGTCGGAGCGGTAAACATAGGGGAGTTCTAGCGCACTTCCAGAGTGGCAGCAGTCCATTATTACGAAGAGTGTACAATCACGTGCCATACGGGTGACAAGATGCTGGTGCAGAATCGTACTCGAAATCTGACCTCTCTGCTCAAAGTCGACGGGAACAAGGGATGCATCCAGACCCGTCGTCCTGTTTCCGTCCGTATCCGCAACTTGGCCGCCGTGACCCGAGTAGTGAAGGAAGAGAGTGCATCCAGGTTCCGAGACGAGCCAGTCCATTGCCGCAAGAATATTATGGCCGGTGGGGTAATAGGGAGAGTCGGGTGGGACTTCAGGGCGGTCGGTCAAAATAACGCGGTCCTTTGGAGAGTTGTTGTAGCCACGGTAGTAAAGGAACTCAGCCATGTTGTCTACATCGGCTTGGCAGCCGCGTAGTTCGTGGCTACTGCCGACATAGTTAATACCGATGAGCAGGCTCTTCTTGCGTTGGTAGGCCATTTTTGACGAGTTTGAAATGTGAGATATGAGTGTGGCTGAGGAATCGGGGACTAGGGTTTATACTACAATAGTGGCGGAGGGGTGGCGTTGAAGTTGGAGTGTTAAGCGGTTGAGAGGGGTCGATGAATGATGTGGCCGATCCCTGCCCAATCAATACATGTGAAGCATGTTGATTGACGCGTCCCGTCCCGGCCACGTGCACGCGCGATCGACCGTCACTAGCACATGTCTTGCAGCATATATCAGCCAGTACCACCACATCTGATATATTCGATGGTATATGACGTCACATACTATCTCAGATGCCCCAAGGCAGCTGCAAACTTCGATATATCGACATGGGATATTCATGAATCGAGCCATGAGCCCTCCGCCCGCCAAGCGGCACAAGAATACTGGTATTCCCAAGTCAACTACAGCGGCGAAAAGTTCCCAGGGGGGCAACATCATTCATCATTTCTACAATTCTCCCACCACTGGAAGCAAATGCCCTGCACATCTTCTCTTGGAACATCAACGGAATTTCACCCTTTCTCCAACCATCAATTACGTCATTCTTCAAGGCAAAAAAAGACAGCAATAAGGAGGAAAGCAAATATCAAGTATATCTCACTTCCTTGCGAGCCTTCCTGCACTGCCACCACTGGCCATCCATCCTCTTCCTCCAAGAAGTCAAAATCGCATCCAAAGATACCAAAACACAAGGTGCTGTGAAAACAGTCATCAACTCGCATTTGCCCTCAGAAACCAGATCAAAAACTGTAAAAGGTCCACTGTATGACGCGTATTTCACCCTTCCCACCTCTCCCCATGGTGCGCGTGATCCACGGGGAAGCGGAAAAATATATGGTGTATGCATCATTTTGCGCCGCGACTTGAACGACACCTACGCAACAGCAGTACGAACCGTTGAGTGGGACTATGAAGGCTGAATCTTAGTAGTAGAACTCACATGTCGAGCCACATACTCGAAACTCGCCATCTTCAACATATACGCTGTCAATGGTAGAGATGGCATAATCGGCCTCTACGCAGGAGCCGTTAGAGGTTGTAATGTGTTCACCAGTGTCCGAGTAGCTAACATTTGTCACGATAGTGTTGAGAAGGAGACGTGGGTCACTTGGTTGGAGAAATTTGGACGCCTGGTGTTTGAGCCATGTGCTGAAGCCGCGCGGGTCAGCGCAGACTGTGAAGCCATCGAAATCAGCAAGGCATCTTCCGCCTGCATTTGAACGAGGACTTACACTTGCTCTCTTCGGAGAATCCATAGTATGTCAAATTCCATCCCGTGATTCCGTATACGAAGCCAGATTCCTCAGGCGTCTTTGCAACAAGTTCAAAAATTAGTATGTTTTCGAAATCTAAGGAGCATATACAGAGCTTACCTGTGCCGTCTCCCAATCCCAAAGATAGTACTCTACTGTCTTGCGCATGGGATCGCCTTTTGGTCGCCATCCGCTCTGCCAAAAGCCTGCACGGGCACTCCTGTCCTGTGGATTTTCTGAAAGTATCGTCCCTGCCCTCTGTTCAAAGCCAGTCCAAGTCTCTTCAAACTCATCAAGGATTCCGGTGTAATCAATAGCCCCAGTTTCATTGTAAGTTGCAATAGAAAAAGCATCAGAATTGGGACTCGTCAGGTTGACTTGTTTCGAAAAAGTCCACACTGGGTTTTCTGGGCCGTTTTTGGTGTTTTCGCCTAATCCGGAGATCCAGTTTGCGCCTAGTTCGACTGTATATGGGTCGCCGTTGGAATCTGAGTCAAACCCTGTGTTTAGCATGCGACCTCTAATACGATCCTGGTACTCGAGGATGAGAAAGTCGGAGACAGATTGGTTGAACAGTGCTTGCTGAGGAGAACTCAGCATGATGAGCCAAGTTTGAGTCGGATAGAGACCGTTTTCAACAAGTCATACTCACAGCTGCTGTTATGCCGGCAACACCGCCTCCTCTGGATAATATCAGTCGCTGAATCTTTGTAGTAGAGTTACTCAATACAAATGATTGCTACTTTGGTTTTTCTGCATGTGTTGTTGGAGTTGCGCCTGTGAATTGTCGGCGCAGCGCAGGTCAGAGCTGGCATCAGCCCGATGGTTAATAGAAAGCTCTTCATCCACACCATGATGCCTGAGACGTGAAGGATAGCTTGGTTAATTGCAAAAAGGTAACACGGCCAGGACGCCTTGCTAGATACTTAAATTACCGCCCGGAAAACCATGATGGGTACTCATTGGCACGGCAGTCGACAACTGGTTAAGTCTCTACGAAATAATCCTACGAAGCTACGTGACTGGACTCAACATTGGATATTCCAATCGGATACGAAGAAAGTGGATGCTGCCTTGTTGTGGGGTTACCTTTGTCCCGGTCTTAGAAGATCTGCAAAAGTCGAGTGAGAACATCTGTGTGACATGGACTAGCCTTGAAATAGTAGGTGGTATAGAGTCCCACAGGCTTGTTGAACGCGCACAGTGGTGTTGATAACCATCATGTCATGTCTAGCCTGGTGCGGTCGATGTCAAACTACAAAGGCTGACTTGAACGCACCAACGGTTGACAAGCTCATGTTTTCGAAGCTTGACTTGAACACACCTCTTCTAGCGTCCAGCCCATCTCTACAACATTAGAAGCCATGCTTACGATATGAAATTCAATGACAACAACTGCGGGTCACTATCACGTCGCAGTACAAGAGTTACAGCTGGGTTGCGTGGGGTGTGCAGGGATTTCCAGACGGCACGATGCCCGCAGGCGGGGCTTCCTGATAAGTAATCACCCCCCACACGTGATTGTTCTTTTCTGAATCAATGCCTCCTGCACCTCTCTCCCAATTTATCTCTCCATACTTCATTGCAAACTCCACATTCAAAACAAAGTACGGCATTGCAGCCATGATGCAGCCAAGTAGCAGATTGTCGCCCGATCAAGGTAACCTCAGGTAACACAATGCATGAGACCGGTGTTCGCTCGCCATCCATTTCCTTTGTGGATGGCAGCGATCTGAGATATACGGTCTGAACTTGATCAGGTTAAAACCTGCGAAAGGACTCATGCTTTGCTCCCTTCACAAATTGGGGGCTGCTGCTAATGGCTCTAGGTCGGTGCCATGGACTCTATCGCGAAGCCGCACGATGAGAAAACGTCAGATGCGCCGGGCGCAAGTAGTTCACCATTGACTCACGATATCGAGCGCCAGGATGATGTGCGCTATGCAAAATGGCAAAAGACTTGGAAGACATTCGAGAGCCAGCTTGTAGCATACAACCTCGAGGCCCGCGGCATTCAGCGCGTCGAGCCCCACGAACGTCATGATTTGCGCCTTTTGGGGTATTCGCAGGTCGCAATCATGTGGTTTAGTGTCAACTTGGCAGCGAACAACATCACACTGGGCATGCTTGGCCCTGCCGTTTTCGCCCTCGGCTTTACAGACGCCTGTTTACTGAGCGTCTTCGGTGCACTGGTTGGTTGCCTCGTAGTCGCCTATGTCGCCACATTTGGTCCGAAGAGCGGTAATCGCACCATGATCTTCTCGCGGTACATTACGGGTTGGTGGCCATCCAAGATCATTGTGTTACTCAATATCATCGTACTACTCGGATATGGCATGATCGACTGTGTAGTAGCAGGCCAAATCCTCTCTGCTGTCTCTACAAATTCCATGTCTGTCGTGGTTGGCATCATTATCGTGGCCGTCATTGCTTGGGCAATTACCACATTCGGATACCAGATATTTCACTATTACGAACGTTGGGCATGGCTGCCGCAGCTCGTAGTACTCTGCATATTGGCGGGCGTCGCAGGCCCGCGATTTGACATATCTTCCAAATCTTATGGCGACGAAAATCCAAATACCATCATCGGGAATCGCATCAGCTTTTTTGGCCTTACGCTTGCAGCAGCGATCACGTACGGTGGTGGTGCAGCCGACTACTTCGTCTACTATCCTGAACATGCATCGTCTCTAAGCATCTTCGGCATGACCCTGATTGGCCTAATGTGTAGTTTCACATTCGCTTTCGTCCTTGGTATTGGGCTGGCATCCGGCATGTCGAACAATGCAGACTGGGAAGCAGCGTACGGCGTATCGCAAGGTGCGCTTATTGTGGAGGGATACAAGCCTCTCGGTGCATTTGGCTCTGTTTGTGGCGTCATTGTCGCTTTGGGACTTGTCGCCAACCTGATTGTACCAACATACTCTTCTGGAATTGATGCACAGATCCTCGGTCGTTATGCCGCTGCCATACCAAGAGTGATCTGGAATACCGTCGGCGTCATCATCTTCACAGTCTGCGCCCTGGCAGGGCGTGCGCACCTTGCGGAAATCTTTACCAATTTCCTAGCCCTCATGGGCTATTGGGTGTCTATCTGGATTGCCATTATCCTAGAAGAGCATTTGATCTTCCGCCGCAAGACAGGCTTCAACTGGGAAGTATGGAACCAGAAGAAGAAGCTACCACTGGGCATCGCAGCATTGGCTGCCTTTGTCATCGGTTGGATTGGCGCCATCATGTGCATGGCACAAGTCTGGTACATTGGGCCTATCGCCAAACAAGTTGGAACTCACGGCGCTGACGTATGTGAATTGCATGTGCAAGCTTTGGTAACTCATACTAACACCTTCTAGATGGGTAACTTTGTCGGTTTCGCATGGGCTTCGGTCGTGTATCCGCCGCTCAGGATGTGGGAGCTTAAGCGATTCGGCAGATGATCAGCTACATGATCCAAAAGCTACCAAAGCCATTCCTCAGACGCGAAGAACAGATTATAGTGGCCCATCGAATACCTGCCAGCTTTACCACACACGATTCCTCAACAGATTGCGAAACAGCTTTCAAGTAGAGCATATGCTTGTGTTTCAAAGTGGAATTCATTTCTTGTCATGCCTCCCTCTCTCAGATCATATTCTTGAGTGCCATTATTAGCAGATAAAGAACACATTAATAACAGTAATCAGAAACCTTGCAAGAAAGGAACTAGAAAAACAAATGCTTGGATTTACATACCAAAGGCTCTAAGACAAGGAGTTGTGATTCTCTTGTTGCATATATCGGTATTCACAAGCTCATGGAAAGATTTGCAAAAGCTACTCCATCATACGCTTGCGCGTGTATAGTAGCCTGCTTAATAAATACCATGCATCTATCATGTTCCCGTGACTCCGCTATGAAGACCTATCCGAAGCCCCTTCAAAAGCAGCTACCCGAATTGTTCCTTTTCCACTCACGCAGTACCACCTCCAATCACGGCACATTCCTCACCACTGAGGCCTCTTTTTTGGGAGAATAAGCCAGCCCTGTGAGTCGTGCGAGAGTTTGCATGGTGTAAGGGGACAATCGCCCAGCTTATGCTTCATTGAGCACCTCCAACGTCCACACGACACATCGCGTTCGGTACAGCTGCGGCATCTCGCCTCACTGTCGCACTCCAGGTTGTTGGCATAGCACTCGAAGCATGCAATCACAGTCTTGGGCAGCTCGGCATGCATGTTTGGCTTGACGAGATGCGCAGCGCCCTGCAACAACTGACCATTCTTTGTATTGTTGAGACGCTCTTCAGAGATCCCAAGTTCACGTTCAGCAGTCTTCAGCTGGTTGCGTTGGCGGTCACAGAGGCTAGTCTTCTCGCGAAGTTTGGCTTTAAGATCTTCATTGTCATCTTCCAGTTTAGTCTTGTTGAAGCTTTCTTCCACAAGCTTTCCACGTAGCTCGATGTTGGTTTCCCTGCACTTCGCAAGAGTTTCGGTGAGCTTTTGGATGCGGGTTTCATAATCTTGCGCAGTACTAGTAGAGGCTTGCAAGGCTTCATCTCGTTCGCGAGCTAGTTTCGCGACAGTGCTGCGCAGGAAATCGCACTCCCCTACCAGCTGTCAGTTTGATGAAAGTAGAATCTATGAGGCTTTCCGGTTTTACCAGCCGCTTTTCCCAAGCCCTTGAGTTTAGCCTCTAATTCTGTCGTTCTTCGACTTAGGCCATCAAATTCCAGCTGCTGAGTCTTGATCTGAGACTCCTTCTGGGCCAAGAGTCGGCACATCGATGCTTTTTGGTCTTTGTTAACTTCATTTCGGTACTTGAGCTTGCACAACTGCGACTCATCATCGCCCTTTGTGCTTCGGATTTCTTCGTCACTTTGCTTGAGAGCTAGAATATGGCGTTCGGGAATTGTTAGTATGTGTTCCTTTACGTCATCAAACTCATCTCCTATAGGATGCCATACTGGCTTCGTCAATTGTGTCATGTAACCAGTCTTGGTCTGGGGTGCTAGTCGAGACGTTTGAAGAGATTCGGTAAAGGTTGGTAACTCAACTGGTACCACACGTGAAAGCGGCTCAAGGTCTGAGAGACACACTATGTCAAGGCTCGAAGATGTGGCTGACTGCACCTCGTGCGAACATACACTCTCATCTCCACGGCTGTGACCAATCTTGCCATCCACTGGGTTTTGAGGCTGCGCAACCTTTTCAAATAGGTAACTTGTGACAGCATCTTTCGAACAACTGGCTGAGGAAGCAAGCTCTTGCTTCCCAAGAAATTCAGCGACAGTCTCGGGCGTAGTGAAGGGCTTCGTCGAGCGGGAAAAGGCGCGATCTGCACCAAGAGCACTATCTGTATAATGTGAGCCTATGTCATTTAGCTTGTGATTCTACAGTTGTATGGTTGTAAATACTGTTTGGCCCTGCAGGGGGCGTTAGGCGTGGAGTCAGATTTGGAGTGGTAGTATACGGCTTCTTCTCTTTCATCAAACGTGCAAGGTCGAAGAAGCTATCGTGATGCATGTTTTTGATATGTTTTTTGGTAGGCGGGGGCATGTTTAAGGAGCAATCAAAGTTATTCAAGGAGGCGGTAGAGACGTCGATATCATTTTGAAGGCCGCTGTTGTCTTCGTCCATGGTGATGGTACCGGTAGCCTTCAAAGAGAAGACGATAGGTAGGTTAGAGGAATAAACCCAGTCTTTTGGGGGCCTTTTTGTTCTCGGGTGGAGAGGGGAAGTGAGGAACGAAGTGAGTGAGAGAGGACGCAGTCACCGCTTCGCCAAGGCAGTCCTGCAAACGTCGAGGAAGGAGCGGCGTGCAAGTGTTTCACTAACCAACTAGAGTGCAAGTATAGCACAAGACAAACAGGTTTAAATTTCTTGTTCTGAATAGAGATACACAGCCTAGTGAAAAGAAGTGAAAGGCCCATAACCAGGCGATGCTCAATGCAGATATACAAACCGACAAAATCAACGCTTCAGTGTAAGAACTATAATACAAAGGACTTCTCGTGACCTTTGCCCCGGATTATGCAATTGCACCTTCGTTTTCGACCTCCTATTACGAATCAAACAGAAAACCCCCCCTGCACTCTATACAAGCATCCAAGTCTCATCTCCGCTCTCATTCCTGCCCTTCCTGCTTTCTTTCCCTCCAGTAAGCAGCCGCGCCTAACGACTTTCCCTCCTCTCCGGAGTGGGCCCAGGGACCATGACTTTGAAGGGCATCTCGCGTCCTATACCCCCGGCCATACTGACAGGCACATATGGAGTAAAGATTGGTGGGCTCTGTTGAGAATGCTGTCCCTGTTGTTGCTGAGGCGGTGCTGGCGCCAGCGCCTGCTGTCCATTTCCAGAACTCTTGGGTATCGACTGGCCACGGCTCTTTGGTCTCCCGCCAGCCGGGCTCTGCGGGCCGTATGGACTAGGATAGGTCGGCATGTTAGTGGGTGCCGGAGCAATTTGGCGTGGCCCACCTCCGAATGATCCACCTGTAGAACTAGGCTGGGCAAGAGGAATGCCTTGTTGGTGGTGTGGTGGATGATGTGAAAATGGGCCTGGGAACGAACCAGTTGGGAGCGCAGCAAGCGGCGAATAGGACATCATCATGTGATGTGGCGGCCCTGGAGCAGAGACATACATGTAGTGTTGTGGGGGTCCAGGTGGTCCCTGGGTATAATGAAGGTATGCTTCGGGAGGCGCATGGTGAGGACTGTGCTGCGGAGGAGCGTGCTGTGCATGGTGGACTGGAGATGCTTGCTGTGACTCTGACTGTTGAGATTGTGGTGTCGCAGCAACAGCAGATCCTCCAGATTGTCTAGCCCCCTTTCGACTTGCAGAATTTGACCGTGATGGTGTAGGTTTCGCTGACTTGCCCTCTTTCTCATCCTGCTCTCGTTTCTTCGCTTTACGTTCGGCCCACCACATAGTCATCGACTGACTTCGCTTTTCGCTCTTAACGCGTGGCTTCCTTCTCGACCCTGAGGCGGGTGCCGACGACTCGTCGACATAATTGTTGGTATACTGACTCAGCGGTGCAGTAAGCATGTACGCATCTGGTGTACTAGACTCACTCGGGTGCACCAGTGGCACCTCTTGAGGCGGTGCAGAATTTTGTGGCGTGCCTTGGAAAACCGTCTCAGCAGAGTTCGGTGCCATCAAGGATGTACTTTCTGCAAAAGGCTGGGTTTCAATGGTAAACTGACCTTGGCCTTCACTCATTGAGTTGAGTGCAGGTGGCGGTACATTAGGGGCATGTGCCGACGGCACGGGCGTGCCTGCATCGCTTGTCTTCTTGCGTGGGCCTTTCTTCACTCCGTAGTCGCTGCGTCGAGCGGAATTCTTGCTACCAGCTGGACGCCCGCGCTTGGGGTTGACTTCTGTATATTCATCAACATCCACCGCTGAGGACTCTTCGTCTCCGGAGCTTCCGACGATAGATTCTTCTCGCATTTCTTGGATACGCTGGTGGAGTAAATTGCTGGCTGTTGCCCTTGCACGTTTTACAGGCCTTGATTCTGGCTCTGGCGTCTCGGACGCAGGTTTAGCAAACCTGCTGACGCCTTTCTTACGTGCGCCACCCCACCCATTGTGCTTCTTCGGGGTGGTAGAACCTGTGGCAACCTCAGTGCCGTCAAATTTGCGGGGGGCCTTTCGTTGTCGCTTGGAGGGGCGGCCTTCATTGTCGTCCTCGTATTCCTCTTCGCTTGGGGCTGCTGATTCTAACATGTCACGCGTTCGGCGCGTTCGAAGCTCCCTACGACCACCCTTCTCTGCACCTGGTCGTTGAGCCCAGGGGTCCTGACATCCTAAAGGTTTTTTGGGATCATAAGTGTAGCCATACAAATCCGCCTCTTTCATGTCTTCAAAGACCTCAGGTGCCAGTGGAATTCGCCCGCCATTGCAAGCTTTCTTAGCCGGATGCATGTGGGGAGCAGTCTGGGGCAGTTAGTCAAGAACAAGTCGAATTTACAGGTAACACCCACCCTTGCATCCAACATGAGATATTCATCTTGCCAGGCTTTGAGAATATGTTGTGCGTTTTCGGTTAGTGTATAGAGATTCTCTGTACTTCTTTGAGAGGCAGGGAACTTTGTCAGGGCAGCAATGGCAGCCTGAACATCTGCCATTGGCTTGAAACGCTTTTGCAAAAGAAAATCGGCCCTGTCCTCACATTCGGCCTCAACTGGAGACGGCGCGTCGTAGATGAATGGATCGGGAAGGTCAGAGTCTGAGAGAACGTCCTCTTCAGGATCTAGCAACTTGGGGACAGCAGATTCTGCTGGCGTCGACGCAGAGTCTCTTGGTGTTTGCGATGCTGACTGTGGTAACAAGGCAATCCTGGGAACACCGAGTCTGTTGGATGTCTTTGTTGTTGATTCGGATTTGGAGTCAGGCGCCGGTCCGGACATGTGTGCGCTTGCATGGATGGAATCGTCCATGTCGGGCGGTTGAGAGCCATGTGGCGTTCCTTGGGATTTTTGTGAAACGTCCATACCATCATAATCAGGTTCGCTTTCGTCATCTTCAATTGCTTCTTCATTGTCATCGTCTGAGCTGTATTCTGACACGCTACCATCCAAGCGTGTTCGCGTCTTGGCATTGCTGATCGGCGTGCTCTGGTTGGACAGAGCATCATCTCCATCTGTGAAGGGGAAGATGGCAATACCATTGCGTGCTCTTGAAGAAGAAGACGGATTCGCTTTTCCAAAGCCTCCTCTGACGCGTCCGCCTCTGCCTCGTCCACGGCCGCCTCGACCGCGTCCACCGCGCGAGCCCCGACCACCGCGACCGCGGCCTCTTAGCGCAGGCTGAGGCGCCACAGGCATGTCGTCTTCGCTTTCTGAGGCACTCTCTTCTTCAGATTCAGTTGCATCTTCTTCTGGAGTAGGGGAGCCCTCAGTAAAGGAACCGACGATAATTTTCCGCTCTTTTGGGAGTTTGCCGTGATGTTTCTTGAGGTTGTTGAAAAACTCGGGCGACAGGCCAAACACCATAAACAGGGGATGCTCGTACGAGGCATAGATGTCGGATGCAGCCTCGAGCGAATTACCTGAAATGTTTGAGGCCGAACGAGTCGTCTTCCTCGTCATGGTGGGACTGAGTTTAGTAGGACTGCTGTTTGGTGCGACGCTCTCTGGAGCATCTGATTTTGATGGGGCTGGTTTTGCTCCTCGACCACGGGTCCGGGTAGGCGTGTCGTCTTGCTGCGAATTCCTGCGCTGTGAGGAGCGCGCAGGCGCATTCTTGGAGAGGGGCATTGGGGCAAGCCAGCGACACAGGAGCAACAATTTGCGTCGGGTTGAGATTACGGCGCATGTGTCGACGCAATGCTTCCATGGAGGGTCCCAGGGAGGCGTAGCGCGCGAATCGTAGCCTGCTAAGGAGACGCAAAACTGCAGGCCGGCCAGGCGAACAAAACCTTATGCCGCAGCGACGAGGTCGCGCAAACCGGCGCAAGCGGCAGATAGCGGGTATCAAGGAAAGAAAATGCCAAATGGAATAGTACGCGATACGGCGTGTGATGATCTTTGTCTCGGAGTCGTGGCTGCTACAGCAAAAGCGAACCATGATGCGCTTGGCAGATGGTCGCCCGACCAATGACGGGCCTGCCGCTAAATTGACTAGCATGTACCTGTCAGATGCTCCAGGCAATCCGCCGACGTCTCTACGTACGGCCGCCGAGGGTGCATACTCACTGCATACTCACGCACACCATCTCCGCCTGGACCCAGAGCCTGCTCCGCTTTCTTTTGCCATTGTGCTCTGGTGTTTCTTTTTCTCTTTTTTTTCTCTTGAGCCACCATGCCTCCCAAGACGGCCGACGAGGAGCTCGCCGAACTGGAGAAGCTGGCCGAGGCACCCGCACCCCCGCCTAACAAGCATGCCAGAGGGACTCGTGCGCCTCGCCAGAAGTTTGAGGTCGAGGACGATGCGCTCAAAGACCTCGACGAGCTCGAGCAATTGGGAAAGGCGCCGCAGTCTGCCGTGCCTCGCCAGATCAGCCGCCCCAACACCCCCAAAGTAGCGTCGTCGTCCTCCAGCAGCCGCCGGGCACCAGGCGTCGCGACACCCTCATCTACCGGCTCAGCACGCACAAGCGAAGACAACAGGCCGTCAGCACCGAGGAAGTCCGGAGAGAGCACCCGCTCCTACCACCAGAGCTTTGTGCCGCCCAAAGAGGAGCCTGCCAAAGCACAAGCATCCGAGCCAAAAGAGGAACGCTCGTCTGGAGGGTCATGGTGGGGAGGCGGATGGGGAGGGCTTGTGTCGACTGCCACTGCAGCAGCAGAGACGGCGCGGAAGCAAGCCGAGGCGGCCTACCAAGAGATCCAGAAGAACCAAGAGGCTCAGCGATGGGCGGAGCAAGTGCGAGGGAATGTCGGCGCCCTTCGCGGCATTGGTACGAATGCAGCCACCAAGTCACACCATGACCATACTGACAGACTACAGGCGGCGAGCTTGGCAAGCGTGCGGTACCTACCTTCACCAACCTCTTGAACACACTCGCACCGCCAATCTCTCAGCATGAACGACTGCAGATTCACATTACACACGACCTCATCGGCTACCCCTCCCTCGACCCACTCATCTACCAAACCTTCTCTGGGGTCATGGCACAAGTAGAAGGCGGCGACCTCATGGTCGTCCAGCGCGGCTCCGAGTCAACGCAGCGAGGCTCATTGGAGGGGTACCGGGGTGGTGGCGGAAGCTGGAACGACGGTCCATGGTGGCGCCACACGGAGAAGCGCGACTTGAGTGTGGTCAAAGGGCTTGTTGAAGGCACCAAGCTTGCTCGAGTCAGTGCCGAATCCTATGCCAACGAGTTTTTCAACGCAAGAGGAGGCATAGAAGCGGCGGCAAAGCAAGCAACGGAAGTGCTGAGCGAGACAAACCCTGTGAGGAGCAGCGACATATTTATTGCAATCCAGGCCATCAGTTACCCGCAACAAGAAGGTCTGTTTGCAACTTCATCTGCAGGTCAGAAGGGGAAAGCAGAAAATGACGATGACGACGACGACTCAGACGACTCAGATGATGACGAAGACGAGGACGAAGACGAAGAGCAGGTGGCATTCGCAATCTACCTATATGATCCCATACACAGCATTAGCTTCAAGGGCCTTTCACAATCGATTCCCGCCAAGTGGGTAGAGTGGCTGGACGCGCCCGCCAGCACCGAGGCCGAGGGCGAAGAAGGCCGACTACCACAAGAAATTGCAGAAATCATTGAGAGTGGAGGAGTCGATCCACGAGAGTGGGTTAGTGAGTGGATGGAGGAGACTATCAACCTCAGTGTAGGCATTGTAGCGCAGCGCTATGTTGCACGCCGGATGGGAGTTGGTGAAGGCGGTCTTGGTAGAGGAATGAAGAGGGAGGCGATTGTGGATGCTGGAGGAGGCGAAGCTGCACGAGCTGGAATCATTTGAGGAGTTTTCTGGTTTGCAAAGTTCTTTTTATTTCTCGGTTCAACGGCACGGCTCGGACTATAACTACATGACAGCTCAAATGAGATGAGGAAAGCATCTCGTATGCTTGCAAGATGGGTTTCTGGCCCGTCATTCACCCTGCTCCAATGCGCTCCTGTATGGTGAGTGTGCGCTGGTAGACGTCAGAAATGTCTCTCGACGGAAGCGCATTACTAGATGCTCAATCCTCGAAACTCGTAGGCCTCGCTTTGCTTGGTTCTGCGTTTTGCCACAACGTCTAAAGCGAGCCGAGAGCGGCTCAGAGCATGCCAGACCTGTTAGACATAGAACAACGTGCTCGTGCCGCAGCCCAGGAAGGTGGTTGACATTTCCGAGAAGCCTTTAACCCGACTTCTTCTTCTTCTCTCCACCTTCCTTCTTGTCCTTCTTGCCTCCTTTGAGCATCTCCAAATGGCCGGCTTTTTGCGCCAGGAGCTTCTCGGTTTGCCCGACCAGACCAGCGCTGCTCTTGTGCTTGATCTTGTTCTGTGAGATGATTGAAGCTTTCTTGGGCTTGATGACGCGGGCGCCGTGCTGGACACGCTGGGAGGGCCTGGAGGGAAAAGAAAATATGGTCAGTATGAGATTGGGCAGCCGGGATGAGGCAGACTGGCTTGCGACGACGCGCGCAAGGATCAGGTATGGCGCGCAGGCAACAATGGCGTCAGCGGGAGAGTCCAACTTACTTCTTAGGAGCCGCGGCCTTGGTCTTCTTGACTGCGCCTTGAGCCATTGCGGAGGTCGTTCCTGGGAGCGTGGGGCGAAGATGGCAGCGGAGATTCGGGTACAAGCAATGCTGTGCGATTGGGGCTAGAGAAAATCAGCTTCGGACAAGCGTGCGCCGAGTATTGGTCACGGGACGAGAGGAGCCCGCTGCGGAATGTTCCACTCTTGTTGCAGTGGAGCGCACGAGCAAAGACGGCTGCTCTGGCTAATGCTCGGCATGCCCTCTCCGACGTTTTTTTTCGAGATGCTTGGCGGGCGTCGACCGACTAGCCCGAACCGGCAAGGTGCTTTGTGGGGAGGAATGCACATTTAGCCTTTTCACCCCAGCGCGGGGAGCCGCCCCAGGCCCAAGACCCGTCTTCCAAGCCTCTTGCTTTGTGTCCAACCTGCAATTCTCCGCAAAAAGAGGGCCGTCTGCACCCTGTGGCCGTTTTCACCGACCAAGTTGCGCAGGAGAACGCCCGGAATAATTCTATCGTTACTCGGTGGTGACAGCGCCCACGCCGGAACGTCGACCTCAACCGCACATGGTGGCTCAATCGTACATCCAGACCATGATGCGCTTCACCCGTTTCCCTCCATGGCCAAGGTCGCTCCGTCTGCTCTTCTGGAAGAATTCCAGCTCAAAGAGGATTGGATCATGTACGTCGCGCGTCAATTTAGCCTTAGATTACAGCCGGTCGGCCTGGGAAACCCGCTGTTCCTGGATCTGCATCGAAGGATGCTTCATTACTCTCGCAGACAGTTGGAGCGCCCTTTGCCACATGCACAGTGACTAGATGTTAAAGGTATAGATTGGTGGAGATTGAGGGCAACGGGGTAGACGTGCAGATCACGCGACTGTGATCTGGGGAAGCACTCAAAAGCAGGGTATCTCCACGTCTTTACTATGGCTTTGTTCAGGACGTCTGCTCAAATTCCTGTCCAAGCATCATGGAGCGCCTCTCCCGCACTGTACTTGGCGCTTTGTCGCTGTCAGTTGCTTTTGCCGGCTCTGCCTCCGCCATAGAGCCTTTCCGCAAGCCCACCATCTCTACTTCCAACCGCAATGGCACCGCTCTTCTTGCCTCTCGCGCTTCTCCAGTCACCATTCATGCAGATGCTGCAGACTGGCCTGGTGTCCTGCGTGCCGCCCATGACCTTGCCATCGACTTCGGACGCGTTACTGGTACCAATGGCACCCTCAAGACTACCGGTACAGCGACCGCAAACGCTTCCATGATCTTCAATGTTACAGGAATCAGCGAGGACTGGAGTGTTGGCGGCAGCAACGCAGCCAACTCCTCTTCTACCGGCACCATTATTGTTGGTACCATTGGCAACTCAAGTCTAATCGATAGCTTGATCGCAAGTGGCCAGCTAGATGTCAGCGGAATCCAAGGTCAATGGGAGGCGTATGTAAGCGCTGTTGTGAAGAACGCTGGTAATACGACTGGAGAAGCGCTCGTCATCGCTGGTATGTGCACTAAAACAGCCGAATACTCTGGATGCTAATCCCTGGCAGGTAGCGATCGACGTGGTGCTATCTACGGAATTTACGATGTCTCTGAGCAAATTGGTGTATCTCCATGGTATTGGTTTGCCGACGTGCCAGCCCAGAAGCACGACTCTATCTACCTACTCGAGACTACCAAGGTCCAGAAAAGCCCCTCTGTCAAGTACCGCGGTTTCTTCATCAACGATGAGGCGCCCGCTTTGACCGGCTGGGTCAACGAGCGTTACCCCATGTCTCCATACAACTCTGCCTTCGGAGCACAATTCTACTCCCATGTCTTTGAGCTGCTGCTCAGGTCAAAGGCTAACTACCTTTGGCCGGCCATGTGGAACGGCATGTTCAACGTAGACGATGCACGCAACCAGCCTCTGGCTGACGAGTACGGTATCGTAATGGGAACATCACACACTGAGCCAATGGTCCGTGCTACCCAGGAATGGAGCAAGGTTGCCAAGGGCTCTGAATCAGGTTGGTCATGGGCCACAAACAACGCAACTCTTTACGACTTCTTTATGGAGGGTGCCCAGCGTGCTGCTCCCTATGAGAATGTTGTTACAGTCGGTATGCGAGGATACCACGACACAGCCATGTCCGCAGATGTGCAGACTGGAGTACTCGAGGCTGTTGTTCAAGCACAGCAGGAGATTCTGACAAAGGTTCATGGTAATGCATCTGAAGTTCCCCAGATGTGGTGCTTGTACAAGGAAGTTCAGGACTATTTCGAGGCGGGTATGCAAGTCCCCGACTGGGTTACACTCCTCTGGACCGAAGATAACTGGCAAAACATCCGTCGTCTTCCTGTCGGGGACGAGAAGAAGCGATCTGGCGGTGCTGGTGTTTACTACCACTTTGATTATGTCGGTGACTCGCGAAACTACAAGTGGCAGGACACGATTCAGCTCCAGAAGACCTACGACCAGATGAGACTGGCCAAGGATCGTGACGCGGACCGCATCTGGATTGTCAATGTTGGAGATATCAAGCCTGCAGAAATCGCAATCAGCCACTGGTTCGACATTGCCTACGACATCGACGCTTATGATGAGACGTCTGTCCCTGAATGGCTTACTGGTTTTGCCGCCCGAAACTTTGGTTCCGAGCACGCTCAGGCCATCTCGGACATCCTTGACGAATACGGCGCGCTTTCCAATATGCGCAAGTTCGAATGGGTTGAGCCATCTTCCTACAGTGTTCTTAACTATGAGGAGGCTGATCACATTCTTGCTCGCTGGGAGGATATTGCTGAAAAGGCCAGTGCAATCAACGATGCTCTTCCCGCTGAGCAGAAGCCCGCTTTCTACCAGATTGTTCTCAACCGTGTGCTCGCTGGTGGCAACCACGTCGCGATCCAGATTGCTGGAGCCAGGAATATCATCTACGCGCAACAGGGCCGTAACAGCGCCAACGTCTGGATGCAGCGCGTGATTGATGGCATGATGAAGGACCACAACCTCACCAAGCAATACCACACCATGCTGAACGGAAAGTGGAATCACATGATGGACCAGACCCATTTGGGATACCAAGGATACTGGTAAGAATGCGCTTTCTCTATCAAGAACCTACCGTGAACGATACTGACTATTGAATAGGCAACAGCCAATGCGCCAGTCCACTCCTGACCTTCGCTGGGTACAGGTATGGGAGCGCTCGCTAGCAGGCGACATGGCTGTCCACGTGCAGGGCTCCAACGCCAGTATCCCTGGTGACGACATGTACCACAGCAATGGCGGATCTTCTTTGACCCTGCCGGACATTACACCATTCACTCCCAAGCGCTGGATCGAAATCTCGCACCGTGGAACAGAGGAGTACTCATGGAACATCAGTGCTGATCCTTTCGTGACACTTTCCCAAGCAAAGGGAACCATGAAGCCCAACGACCCGGACGTCCGCGTCTACGTAGATGTAGACTGGACCAAGGTAAAGGACGGATTCGGTGCGCAGAGCAGTCTCAACTTCAGCTCTTCCACAGACGCTGGTACCGCGGGAGGTAGACCCAGGGTCACCTTCATGGTAAACAAGACCTCCATCCCATCCGACTTCACCGATGGATTCGTCGAGTCCGCTGGCCAACTTGCATTCGAAGCCGAGCACTACACCCGCACGACCCCCGGCTCCACAAACCACACCTACATGGTGCTTCCAAAATACGGCCGCACCCTTTCCGCCGTCAAGCTAGCCGACAACCTCGCCGAGGGCCTGGACTCCACCAGCGCACCCAGCCTCGAATACGACTTTGTCACTTTTACTAAGCTACCCAAGGAAAAGGGCATCAACCTCACCCTCATCCTCACCCCAACCCACAACATCAACCCCAAGAAGCCGCTCGCGTACATTGCGCAAATCGACGACAAGCCACAGGTCCGTCGCCAGTACGTCATCGACCAGAAGCAGCCCAACTTCCCTGTCAACTGGGGCACTGCCGTCGCTGACAGCGCGTGGTACAACACCACGAACCACGGTGCCCTCGAGCCCGGCAAGCACACGCTCAAGCTATGGCTGGTAGAGGCCAACGTTGTGCTGCAAAAAGTTGTCCTCGATCTTGGAGGTGTCATGAAGAGCCACAATGGCCCGCCTGAGAGCTACCGTGTTGGCGCTGGTGCCGGTAATTCTACCATGCACAAGTTAAAGTAATTTCTTGTTTTCTTTTTCGAATAGAAAAGAAACAGCAGTCTTTGTTAGAAGACTGAACGAAGTAATGTAATTCAAGTTTTTTTTCTTTCTTTCTTTCTTCTTACACATTCGAATGCTCCTTGTTGCCATTGTGATGTTGAGAATTTCCCCGACACGGGTTTTCAAAAGAGTAAGTCTGGTAAGTTTTTGTTTTGTTCAAATCTTTCACTGCTGACATGAGCGGCGGGAGGGGAAGAGATTGAAAGCAAGGTGGATATCAGCTGAGTTGGCTGACTAAACTGTAGTTTGTGAAGAAATGGAACTAAAAAAACAAAAGATAACTACATTGAGTGAACCATGTCCAAACTCAAAACGGGGTAAGATGATAAGAAAAAAGGACGCCAATTGGCTAGGCCAGTCGGGTTCTGGGCTTTGATATTGAAAAAAAAAAAATGAAAAATGAAAAAAAAAAACCTCAAAGCGGTACCTCTATCAACAAATGTCTCAACATGAAGATCAAAAAAAATTACCTCCCAAGTCAAAAGCACAACTCGTCAAGTCATGGCCCATCTCGATTGGAGATGTCGACCTCGGCCCGTCTTGCCAGCACCAAACCACCTTTGTGCTGGCTTACTCCCCACACCGCCCCCCCCCTCCGAACCCATGTCTGTTGGCAGCTCCCGCCCCAAGACCAAACGAACCTGAGCCCAACAATTAACTTGCTTACTTGCCTGTCTGCTTGCCTGATTCAGATAGCTATCTGGCTGGTTAGGTCGTCCCCGAGGCGCCAGCAGCGCTACCGCCTGCATCACCTCCCTTTCCCGCCTTCCTGCGCATGCTCTTGCTGCGACGCGTATAGTAGTTGCTGGGCTCCTTCATTTGCTCCTTGTCCAGCTGTTCTTGAGAAGGCTGCAATTTGCCGTCTTGAGCTCGCTCGCGCACTTTGCTGACTTTGGAACCCATTGCGCTGTGTGATGGTGTGTTTGTGCGGGGTGTAGGAGATGTGGGTACTTGAGATATGGGTGTGACAGGGTTAAGTGGAGGAGGTGCTTGGTTTTGTTGTTGCTGATGTTGCTGCTGCTGCTGCTCGTCAGAGAGGATGATGACTCTACAATCTGTCGTTAGTAAAATATACGACGGATGTGGCCGAAAAAATCGAGGAAGAGTTGGTAAAGGGGAACGAAATGGTGTCGCGTGCCATTTTTGTATGCACTCTGGACATGATCGGGGCCATGTGACTTACGGAGGAGCAGGATGTGGTTCAGGTTGGGGTCTGGGCTTGTTTGGCGGGCGGGAAAATGGTTGTTTGTTGGACCGGCTTCTAAGGTTATAGCGTGACGTCTGTCGCTGCCTGTAGTGGGTGGGAAACAAGAAGTCAGAATGGCATCAGGCGGAAGAGAGGGAAAGTGAATAGGGCGTGGGTTGGGCAAGGGTCTACGTACGACCAGGATGACGTATGAGGGCGAGCCCGAAGACCCTGTTCAGCAGGGGCCGGTACCTGAATTTGGGGTCTAGGCTGCACTGCTGGTTTATTACCACTTTGGGCAAGAATAATGATCCTAATTGCACAAAGTCAGTGTGACTGGACATTTTCCCGAGCAGCTGAAATTGTCTACATCTGCAGATGTTTGGGCAATTGATTGGCTGGTACATACGGTGGTGCGGCAGGTTCCGGGTCTGGCTGCGGCGGCGCTCTCTGACTGTCATTGACCTGAAGACTTGAATTTGACGGACTCAAATTTGTGCTGGAATGTCGAGACATGGCGGATGAGGTGTGAATATGGTGTAGCGACTTGTAGGCCAAGTCGTAAATTTCAAACAGTAGGGAACAGGTTTTAGCCACGGACAGAGCGTGGGAAACTATCAAGGGATGCGAATGGGCGAGGGAAGACTGCAGTTCAAAGGATGCCACGACGGGCGCTGAAAACCGGGCGATATCCACGTTGGCCATTGTTGTTGATGATCCATGAGGCATTCCGTCTCAAGTCTTATATACGCCATGAGGCCTCTCATCTCAGCACACGCTTGTGCAATCCCTTAGTGCAGTTCTGCCTGTTGACCTTCACGAGTCACTGCCTTCGCAGCAGCATCATGATCTCCTACTTCGGCCCCATGATCCTTCCCAAATCCAGGTCCACGACTAGGCGGAGGCCGTTGACATGATCAAAGACGCGCTAAGGTCGTGGGTGAACGCTCGGCCAGAACACGGTAGTCTTGTGTGAATGGGCTATCTTTGGGGCGGCCCTTGCCCGTAGCGAGTGGGAGGGGTGGGAATCCATTGGAGGGATGGGAGTCTAGTCAGTGGGGTGCCTGAAGAGGCTCAAGTTAAGCTTTGATGCATGTTTCTCGTCATTGCCCGGCCTGGTGTTTAGCTGCGAGGCCCCCCCTCGGGGATAGTGAGTGAGATGAGGACAGGTACGTTAGGCGAGCCATTTTGCGCAGACACGTGCGAGCCATCCTGGTTGCTTCCAAACAAGTCGCGTGGTAGGCGATGCTGCTGCTGTACCGTGGCTGTGCGAGGGCATCAGACGGCTTCGTCTTTGGTGTGCGACTGGCCGCATGCAAATGTCCCTAGCTGGACGCCTTGTAGGGCCGAGCATCGAGGCTTACGATAGGTTGCCACCCTAACGGTGGTGGATGAACAAAAAAGGCCAACACTCATCTGGATGCAGAACGATACCGCGAAATGGGTTGGGGTTGGAGGGTTTGCATTAGTCTGGGACGGCAGCGTGGCACAGCTGGTGGTGTTTGCCTGTGCCGACTACTATGCTGTGGCTGCCTTGGTACCCAGGCCCGCCGCCCCGCTTCCACTCCTCCACCACCACTCCACCCCACTCCACCACCCTCGCTTCACGCGGCTCGTACCTGTGCCTGTCCCTCTCCCAGCGCCCATTGCCGTTTCGCGAGTCTTGTCGTCACCACCACCACCACCTTCATCATCATCACCTTCATCATGACCATCATGGCCATCACCAGCAACAACAAGAGCAGCAGTAGCTCGCCTTTGCCGCCCATGCTCTTCTCATCACGCGCGCACGAGTCAGCACTTTGGCCCCCCAATCACCATGCCGTTGGCCATGCTACTTGCGATTGGTAGACCGCCATGGCCAATCGTATCTTCTACCATCTCCTCGGGCCTCAACCGACGTCCAGGTTGCCCAGCCATCGCAATCTTATATCAGCTATAAAAATAATGATTCACGTGGAGCTGCGATGCTGCTTCCAGGATTAAATCCGTATCCCAATCATGTCTGCCTCGCCCTAAGCTATTCGCTTGCTGGGGGCCAATGGCAGTGCTGACCGGGCCTGATTATGACGCCACCAAGCCTTCCATAACGGCCTGCATCTCCATCCTTCCAATTGCACTACGGGCCATGCCCCTCGCTATGCCGTCATACTGGAAATATCAGTAGCTTCTAGCCCAGGCACCCTTTGCGACCTCTTCTCTCCGCTCGGCATTGCTATAGGCGCGCCGCTAAGTTCTCGTCCCGTCGGTCATCGGTCGGCTCTTCAGTCTCACGCAAGATTACACCGACTTTTTCATGCTTCAAAATATCTACAGTAGCCCTTCTTGCTTGGGCCGATTACGTACGATTACCAATGGCCCCCCAAAAGACATAAGATGGAACGATAGCGGCTAGTAGGGTCTCTGTTCGCCAGCGGTCACATATCAGGACGAACACTCAGAATGTCAGAATCTCGTCATGTTCGCTCTACCGGGCTCCGTCGTCGCTTCAAGTGTGCCTCGTACATAAGCCGGGATGTGCTTTGAAAACAAAACTCACGCGATGGAGTTGGGGTCGGAAACAACCGACTCAGAAAGAAAACGCGCACAGATGGCCCATTCTCCGGCTTGACCTCACCAGTCCTTACCTTTCTCCTGAGATGGTTCCATTAGCTGTTTACTGGACCTCAAACGCGTAGCAACCTCTTGCAGAACACATGGGAATCGTCACCAACGATGCGCGTCGAGACGTGGCCACAGCTATAAAATTGGGCGTCCGTTGAATCGCGGGGGCGTTGACAGGGGCTGGCTTCGCTAATCTGGCCAACCGATCTCGACTCAATGTTTCAGGGACGATCTGCGTCATTGATCGGTGCTAGGCCAACGCGAGAGATTAACGCGTCGGGAGAACACAAGATGTCAACCTGCATCTTTCTCTGAACAGACTTCAATTGTTGGCTGTCAGTGTGAGGCCAGGTACCTGCGCATGCGCTGTTTTGCTCCTCTCAGACCATTCAATCTTATACTGGTGTTTCCAACCCGCAGGGCACACTTGACCTACCTGTGCTCCGTATCACCTCGACCTTTCATACATTCTTCGAAGGGCGCCCTTACAATGCCTCCAAAGCGTAAATCCAGCGGCATTGCACACAATGCCATATCTGCAAACCAGTACACCGACGCATCCGGCAACGCACCCAACAAGCGCTCGCGCATAGCCAAACCTCTTGATAAAGCATTCGCAAACAGCACGCCACTCACAGATGCGACCACAAGAAGCTCTGAAAATGGCGCACCTGGAGATGCTATCAAAAACGGAGAAGGCGATTTTGATCATTCGAGGCCAGAAGAACGAGTAGGCATAGTCAATCGGCAATTCTATCCGGCAGAAATGAGCAACGAACGATGCGCCATGTACAACGCTGACGAGATTCCACGGCCAATTGCAATTTTGGAGAAAACTTTGAAAGATACGAAGCAAAGGAGGGACAAGATACAAAGCGGAAACGAAGGCGGGCACGGCGATGCAGTCATGCATTGGTTCAAGCGGGACTTGCGCGTACGAGACAATACCGGCCTCTCGAAAGCTGCAGAACTCGCGAAGAGTAAAGGAATTGGCCTAGTTGCTGTCTGGATAATGAGCCCACAAGACTGGGAAGCACATCTTGTCAGTCCGCCCAAGTGTGATTTTGAGCTTCGTTCGGTACAACTGCTCAAGCAGGAATTAGAAGAGCTAGGCATACCTTTGTACATTGAGACGGTGCACGAAAGGAAGAATGTAAAAAAGCGATTGGTTGAACTGGCACTCGAGTGGAACGTAAAAAACGTCTATTGTAACCTTGAATACGAGCCCGACGAGCTGCGCCGGGAAGAGCGGCTAGTGCGCATGATGTTGGAGAAAGGTATCAATATGGATCCACAACACGATGACTGCGTAGTACCACCCGGAAGTCTTAAGACGGGTACGGGAAAACAATACGCAGTATACACCCCCTGGTACCGCGCCTGGGTTGCATACCTCCACGCACACCCTCATCTTCTCAATGAACGCTCTATGCCAGAGAAGAATCCTGCCGGTTTCCGTGAAAAGTTTATCAAGCTCTTCGATTCTAGAGTCCCTGATCTACCAGAATGCAAGTCTCTTACAGGCGAGGAGAAGGAACGGTTTCACCATCTATGGCCAGCTGGCGAGGCAGCAGCCATCGATCGATTAGAACGTTTCCTCACCGAGAAGGTCATCAAGTACAAGGACACGCGTAACTTCCCTGCTTTGAACAGTACTGGCCGAATCAGTGTACATCATGCGGCTGGCACACTAGCCGCTCGAACGAGTGTGCGTATGGCGAGGGATATTAACAGCGTGAAAAAGCTCGATGGGGGCAAGGAGGGCATAAAAGGCTGGATTGGAGAAGTAGCTTGGCGAGACTTTTACAGACATGTTCTAGTTCACTGGCCTTATGTATGGTATGAGTTTCTACGTCTTCCTCACCACTCAACAACTAAGTTTTACGCAGCATGAACAAACCCTTCAAGTACGAGTACACAAACATCGAATGGGAATACAATGATGCCCACTTCGAGGCCTGGACGCAAGGTCGTACAGGTTATCCCATCGTTGATGCCGCAATGCGCTGTCTCAAGCATACGGGTTACATGCACAACCGGCTTCGCATGATAACAGCATCTTTCCTAGCCAAACATCTCTTGCTAGATTGGCGTCTCGGTGAACAATATTTCATTATGCATCTCATTGATGGTGATTTTGCTTCAAACAACGGCGGTTGGGGCTTTAGTGCTTCAACAGGCGTGGATCCTCAACCCTACTTCCGCATCTTCAATCCTTGGACACAGTCTGAGAAGTTTGATGAGCAAGGTGAATTCATTAGGTTATGGGTAAAGGAGCTAGAAGGTGTGCAAGGGGCCGCGATACATAATCCCTACCAGGCAAAAGGTGAGGCGGCCAAGATTGCGAAGAAAAATGGGTATCCCGAACCAATTGTGGAACACAAATTTGCGCGAGAGAGGTGTTTGGCAAGGTACAAAGCTGGTATTGGGAGGGAAACTGCGTAAAGGATGGCTGACTCCCTTCTTCAACATCGCTGTTTTCTGGTTTTTTTTTTCAAACAAGAGAATTTTTCACTGCTGGGGTATAACATCGTCACGTGATTGCTGCGTATTTGTATACAGACATGTGGTGAACGTGAGTTGCTCTACTATGTTTTGGAGAGGCTTTATTTAGCGCGTCATGCCAAGGGCCTGCGTTACTAGCTGTATTTGAGTTTAGCCTGAAGCCTCCCTCCATTGCGATAACTAAACGTCATATTTCACAGTGTTTAGTATACCGCACTTGTTCCTTGCAAAGTTCCTAGGCACATGTGAGGGTCTCGATACAATGTAAGAGTTGTTAGAACTACCTGCATTGGTCGAGTGTCCCTGTACTGTTCGTGTTCGATCTTGCATCGTCTAATCGAACCTTTGTTTAGGCATCAGCATCTGGACAACTCCGCTCATCAAACCCTAACATTAGTCGTTGAAAGTGGTGCCTGAAGAAAGCACCTTTAGAGCTATTGGGAGGATTGCTGTATCTTTCTCAAAGCTTCGAAATGACCCAAGCGGGAAAATGCGACACGTGTCGTCAGCGGAAAGTGAAGGTGCGAAATTCTCTAATATACCTTTATCTGGGAGATTCCAGGCCCATAACACAACATAATTGATATATATAGACATCTACTGATATTGACTGATATATCCGTAGTGCGATGAAGCGAAGCCTAAATGCGGTGCATGCAAGAAGAAAGATCGCCCTTGTGCCTACTCATATGGAAAGCCATCAGCTTTCATTGTGCAAGACCCGAACCAATTAACAAAACACGGTAAATCAAGAGTTCCGTTTGTGGTGCATAGATTCAGTTCTTCTGAGG